AAGTGCTGCATTTGTGCAAACATTTCAGATGTTTTCTCTATTTTTGAAGAATTAGCTGTGTGCTTGCAAAATACTTGGTTGTTCATGGTTCATACACAAGGGTTATTTTTACGTTTCTTTAAGAATCATAAGACAAACTACTGTTCTGGGCTCAAATTATAGGCCTAACTAAACACTGCATATCTTTGAGAGTAGCTTTATTTGTGTGCGTAAGCTTGGTATTCTTTGTAGTATTGGTAGTACCTGTCAGTACCTGTTGGGAACGTTTAAATTGCAGCAGTTCAGAAATTATGACAACAGGCACCGTCTTTATTGCTTCCAGCAAAACTTTTATTTGAAGGATATTTCTTTTAAAAGAATAGATTGAGAAGTGACTCTTGGCTGTTATACAGGTTCAGATGATAAGCCACACACGTCTACATCTGGGTAAGTAGATTTTGTGTGTTTTTTATAACTGTGCATGAACTTTGTTGTGCTCTCACCCTGTTCTTCCTCTTTTTCATTTCCCAGTTAAGGGTAAAGATTCAGATACCAGTCAGCAGATCCCTGCTTCTGTTCAGAGTTTAATGTGGGCGCATAGAGTTTGTCAGAATCATTCTTTGTATTTAACTCTAGATCTAGTCCATGACAAAACAAGAATAAGTTTAGTATGATGATATTATGCAGTTTACTAGAATGAAAATAGGTTATGGTGTGTGCTCCAATCTGTAATGCTGTTGTATTCCACATGAGAGCCTGAAGATAAATTATATACTACATATGCAAATAATATTTAGTCACAAAACCTACTAATAAAATTTATCAACAGGTTTTTACTAAGATATTTTCATTTCTTGAAATTCATGTGAATTCCTATCTTCCAGATGAAGCCTTTATCTTAAAGGTGTTAGCATACTTGACTTCAAGAAGTTCACTTATTTATCCCTCCTGTATGCATCTTGGTATCATTTGAGGGTGTTTTGATAGCCGTGTGGGGTTGGGAGGTATCACAAAGGCTTGTAGAACTCCTATATGCTTCTACATGGGGTAAATTATTATTATCTTGCGCTAACGTTAAGCATTATTAACCCTAATAGACATTGTTACCTTATGGGAGTTCCTTTTTTTGTGTGTGTATAAAATTACACAGTTGTGAAGTTTGTTTATCATCAAATTGGTCAGTATGATTAACTTTTAAAATATAGCAGGAAAAAATGTTCAGCTTAGAGATTTGCAGATATCCTTAAAAAATATCTGGAGTTGTACATTGCCAAGACTGTGCAGATCTTCCTAGTTTTAAAGTTAATATGTGTCTTTGCAGTTCTGAGCTGCAATTAGTACCCAGAATGAGTAGCTGCATGAAGGATATGAAGGTCTAAGTGATGTTTGTGAATCTTATGAATTTTGTATTTAGTGTATTTATAACAGCTACATCGATACACCTAACTCTGACTGTGAACATTATATTATCTAAATAATTTGCGTTCCTAAATATTACTTTGTTATAGGATGCTCTTATTAAATTGTTTTGAAGCGAATATAAGAGTACAAAAAAAATGAAATTTGAATGTTTGCCGTACAAACCCGAACATTTCTCAAGAAATTTTAAAGAAATCAGCAAATAATGTGCTGCTGCCTTTGGACAACGGCTACACTAGCTACTCTGCAATTTAGTATATAACAAAATATTGAGAAGATCATTGTATTAACAGATTAAATTGACTTTAGATGCTAGACTGTAACTGATTTTTGTGAAGTTTCAAATGTTTATTTCTTGTGTTCTTTACTAGGCTACCAGCAGATTTTTTTGATGAAACAGAGCAAAATGGTGCAAAGAAGTGTCTTGCAAAGAGTCCAGGTCCCAGTTTATTGTCTGGAAATTATGATGATGATGAAGAGGAGGAAGAACAGGAAGATCACTCAAACAAATCATCTGTTACACATAAAACTGAAATTCCACCCCCAACACAAGAAGGAGTAGCTAATCCTTTACCTCCAGGTAGTGATGACTGTAGTAAATAATTCAGTGAGGAGAAGATGTGTGATGGAGGGGCTGTGATTGATATTTTTATGTAATGCTCACTAGGATGTGGAAGGAAAGCAGTGAGAGAGATTCTTGGGTAGTTGGTTATTTTATAGTTTTTTTCTCAGCCTGCTTACCACTTTTATGCTATAATTTTGTGAGGTTAAGTAGAATAATGTTGGTTGTTTGTAGAATAAGGTTGCTGCTTTGTTTTGGCTTGATTCAGTAAGATACTAATTTAAATTCCTCTCTAGTCATAATTTTGTATAGCAAAATGTTCAGTTGTTCATTGGCTTTTGTCCTTTCTTACAGACTTCTTTGACAGCAAAACTACTGCTGCACCTATAGTTTCCCATTCAGGATCCATACAGAAGCCAGAGATACAAGAGAAGGTGGTGGAAAGGTAAGCAGTCATATGAAATATTGATAAATTGGGGAACTGTAACTAAATATTCCCCTTTCATAAAATACTTGTGATCGTTCAGAAATCTGTCTTGTTGTTCTTGTAACCAGAACCATCTGTGCATAATTTCATCATCCAGCATAATTTCAGAATAGTATTTGACATCTTACAGGCAGGATTAAAAAAAAAAAAAAGGCAGTGGATCTTTTAGATATCTGTATGTGCTAGTTTTTATACAGGCTACTTCTGAAGTTTAGTGTCAGCTACTGCTTTTAACTGTTTAAAGAAAACTATTGACTTACTCCTTTAATGATAGTTATGTTCACTTAAGCTAGTACTTGAATAAGTGCCTAGACTATCAAAAGTAGAGATTCTATTGGTAAAATATTTGGGTGCTCAAAACAATGGAAAGGATAGTGCAGGAAGCTCAGTAAGCTTATAAATTCCTTTTGTGCTAGATAAACTCATTTCTTCAATTTGGTTTTTGATGAGTACAGGTGAAACTCGAGGCACAAAAAGCTTATTTCATTTCTAGATCTTTCTATAAAGTGGATTTTTTTTTCTTACCTATTTTTATCTCCACATAAAGAATATAGAAAGTATTAACTCAGGATAATAATCCAACATTTCAGGAAAGAAAACACAGCTGAAGCTTTACCAGAAGGATTCTTTGATGATCCTGAGGTGGATGCAAAAGTAAGTGGTCTTGTATTTCCTTTTTGCTAAATATCATAATTTTCTGAGTAGTAAGGATACTTTTTCAGCTAATTAGTTATGACTAATGGCCAGAATATAGGAAAAGGACTGAATTATTTCATTATGTGTAATTAGAAGAAATGAAAGGAAGAAGGGAAGAGTTTGTTAAACCATCTCTGCAGTGGTACTTTTTGTTTCCTTCGTGGGCTAAAAGAAGCAAGGTTATCAATTGACTAAAATGCTGAATTGGGATTTGGAAGATCCACTTGTTTTTATTCCTGTAAATGGCCCCAGGAAAGGCATTTCCGTGTGTCTGCTTCTGCCTCTGAATGGGTAGCATAAAAATGCTTCTGTAATGTGTTTCGAGGGTTCCGGTTGAAAAGTTTAAGAGTTGGTATTAGTTTGTATTGCACCTACACAGACTGCCAGAATGAAAAACAACTAGACTGGGACTAGATTAGCAATTCTAGTCCTGGCATACTACAGCAGCAGACTTTATCTTAACCCTCTGTCACTTTACTGGTATGGTTTTTATTTGCTGCTTAGAAAGAAAGAAAAAAAAAATAGGGGGAGTAGAAAATATGTTGGGAGCATTCAAGCTGTTTGTCCAAAAACAGTCATTAAAAATCTTGTGATCAAAATCAATCAAAATCTATCTGTTATAATCATCATCCTGTATCTTGCACAGTATCAAATGATCATCAAAATAACACTGATTTTTTGAAATACAAAAATATTTTAGTAAAATTTACCTCAGATTTGATGGCTTGCTTGTTACCTTATCAAAGTAAGTGTTGTGGATGTATGTTTTGTTTTTCAATGCTGTACTTGCTTTCCTTGAATATGTGTCTCTTTTGATCGCACTCTGGAAGACTGTTGGTAAATGTAAATTTGATGGTGAGGTGGAGTCATGTCTCTGGATTAGGAGAACTTTTTAAATGAGGCTTCTTTATGTTCACCTTGTCCTGCTGGCACAGGCATAAGCTGGTGTGTCTTTTATTTGCCATGGTGAAATTCTCTGTGCACCACGCATACACATGGGTTTGATGGCAAATATGAGTGTGCATGCGTTCAGAATCTTACTGAATAGTGAATTTTTGTATATTGAAATATGTAGCTGAAAAAGATGCTTCCATTTCTGCTTGCATATGACTAAGTATGACTTGAAGAGTGTATTACACTCTTCAAATACTTCAGTTTTGCTGAGAGGCTAGGGTAAAGCAAGAGTGTCAGGAAAGGCAGACCTCCTTTTATCTACTGAGGACCCTGGTTAGATATCTTTATTAAGCTGATAAAATTTAAAAATGGATAGATGTTCCAACAGGCTCGTCTTCCAACTGCTTGCTGATGCTTTTTGTTTTAGTCAGTCCTTTTCAAGTATAATAGGAAGCTAATAGGAAGAAGAAGGAAAGTGATTGTCATTGGTTATGCTGAGATGATTGCCGTGATTTTGTGTTGGAATCATACATAAAAATATATTTATCCAGGAGAAAAAAAAAAAAAAAAGGAAATTCCAGTGGGCTTTTTGAGGGAGGTTGTGAGATTGAAAAGGACTGATTCTTTACTTTAGGGTTATAAAGCATGTCAATTCTGGATTAGATAAATATTTCAAGGAAGTCATGTCTGTAGTACTTAAATTTATTATAACAAACATAAATAGCTATGAATTACAAGAAACAACCACAGTGTGTAATAACATATTACATACGCACATATTAGAAATAATCATAAAACAGAAAAATGAGATTGGTATTATTTTCCAGTTCTCAGTTTGCTTTGACACTTTTAATTTATTCTATAAACCTAATTAATTCTACTTGATTTCATATAATCATTCAGAAACAAGTGATGTACACAAGTAGTCTTTAGTGTGGTGATGATTGATGTGTTGCCAGAAAAAAGAAATGAATAAAGAAGAAACAAAGCTAGTGCAAAAAGATACCATAAATTACTATCCAGACTGCTTGCTTCTCTGTTTTGTGATTTCTACCCAATCCAGGACCAGACATCTGCCATTCAACATAAAGATGGGAAGTTGTGACATACATCATTATTTGTGGAAGTTTTGGTTACATGGGTAGATGACTTGGTTTATTTGCCAATATGCTCAGCTAAAAGCACAGTCTGTTTTTGATTACATCTTCGCAGATTTTAGGCACATTCTTACAGCTGCTACTGTTTCAATCATCTTGTGTTACTAATTAATGCTCTCTGCTACAAAAGAAAAAGCTTTGCAGGTATTCAAGTGGTAGGTAGCTGCAGTATTTCTTTTGTTGCTCAACAAAATCAGACTAGATGGGAAATACAGGGAAGTAGCCAGACTAGTTACTGAATCTTCTGATACTTTATTACATTAAAAATTCATAATTCATTACTTCTGGCTTTTGAGATGTGCTGCTATATATGTTTGAACAGGCAACTCATGGAAGAATTTAAAACTTGATAGACTGAAACCTCTCAAATTTCCAGGCTCAATCACTTCTGTCAATACAGGCACCCCATACCATCCACTCCTTGTCTGTAGTTCTTTAATGTTACATTTTTAATCCAGGAGTGGAGTTTTTTCCTTCAAAATCACTCGATGGCTGCTGTACTACTCTTGTTCTTATGTGTTACTTGTACTGGAGTGGGTTCACCAGATTTTTCTTAGAAAAAGGCATAATATTTTTTCATGTTTTTTTTTTCAGTTTACAGTGCCCAAAGGGTGATCTGATATTAACTGTTAACACACTTGTCTTATTGATATTTCTTAGGTGCGAAAAGTTGATGCTCCAAAAGATCAAATGGACAAAGAATGGGATGAATTTCAAAAGGCAATGCGACAGGTCAACACAGTAAGTAGTGGAATCTATTTTTATTCACTGTTAAATACAGTACACACAACAGAAAACACATTTCATGCAGGACTGCAGAACGACTGACATACTGCACTTGTCAGCTATGTGTTTCACTGTGGGGTGCAGTTAAATGTGCCTGATGGATGAGTAAAGGAGTTCCTTACTTTTTCCACTGCAGCAGTGTTAAGTGGAAAGCACTTCTGATGAGAATCCAGTCATCAAAATATCTGCTTACTTTACTTAACTTGCATTTAAGTAAGATAGCAGATACAGAAAACTGATCTGAAATATCCAAAGAGTGGACTGTAATTATAGGTTCTTTCTTAGATTAGATGTGTTCATATTTTAACCTTAAAAGCCTGGCAACCCACCCTCCATATGCCTGTCTTCTTGAAGCAAGGTCTATAAAGCATAGGTGATCTGGGTTTGATTGTTAATTTAAATTTAATAGAAAGGAACCCCAAACTTTGGGACAGTAAAATGAGATTTTATGTACAAGACAAGTTGGATACAACTTTAATTTCTTACTGCATTACTGCATTGTAATGAAAGTTTTCCTAGAATAGGTTCTTCTACAATTAAAGATACCTGATATTCTTACTCTTCCCTTTGAGTATTTGCCATTTTTCTTCAGTTTTAACTATAATTGCTCATATGTTAAATGCTGAGTGGTGCCAAAAAATTATCATTGCGCACTTAAAGCAGTCAGCACTATAAACAGAGTGCACGTTCATACAAAAACAGTAGTGGATACGTTTTGCTAGCATTAGCCATGCACGTAATTCTTCACCTTAGAAGGAATCTTCTCAGTTACGCGTGGACCATTGATTGCATAGCATCTCCCAGACATTCAGATTTGAGAAAGTATATGCTGAAAAAAATAACAGGTTAGAAATACTTGGGGATCTAGTGGGAATATTTGACCATTACTTTCAATGAGCATGTGTGAAGAAGTCCCAAATACTGAGAGAGAGTTCCTGTGTCATCCTTGGAGTATGAATGTGCATTGTTTGCTTATGCTGTATTGCAAATAGTAGTGCATTGAAAAATTCAAAATGCTAAAAAGTAGTTTAGCTGCTTAAGGAGTTTTTTTCTTTTTTTTTTCTTTTTTTTTTTAAACACAACATTTCCTTGTGTCTTTTCCACTTAAAATTAATCCAGATCACAAAAGTCTTTTTCTGCACAGGTCTCCAGAGTCTTTTGTGAAGTTACGAGTGTTTATGTAGGAGATTGACACTAATGAGACACTTTTCTTGTGGGGAGGAAACGTGGATATCAAAAAAGAACAGCAGTGACAGAATAAATATAATTTTTCTTAGAGCATTTCTGGTTTAGATTTCAGAAGCAATAGTGGCAGAAGAGGATGAGGAGGGACGGCTGGATCGCCAGATTGGAGAAATTGATGAGCAGATGTAAGTAGATCAGTTCTTCCTCAAACTTTCTGGTCTGCAGCGGGAATGGGTATCTATATGACTGGACTCATAAACATTTTAAATATTAATCTTCTATGATACTACTTTACATTAATCACCTAGCTATTGGTGACTTGGAGGACAAGGGTAGATTCCCTCAAATTAATACATAATAAGAACATATATTTTGGTGCAAAGCTATGTAATTATTTGCTAAGGAAGGTTGCACTAAAAATCACTGAAAATAGAAAGCAGGCAAGGGTAAAATGAAGCAATAAAATATAAATCCTTGAACAGTCTGCCTGCCTTTGCCTACATTAAAGTTATAATTCTCTAAGTTTTGAGTATTTTTTTTTCTGTGAATTCTGAGTGAATTTATATGAACATACTTAATAACCAGTTTCTTTTAAACAAGGTCTTCACAGCAAACAAACTAAATTTTTGTAATGAGGTTTGTGTTTTGATCATTCATCTACTGGGCTGAAAGTACTGTTCTGTAGTTATCTCTCCTTGTCTCTAACAAAAGGTGTTTTTTTTTTTTTTTGAGTAATACACTTAATTACATGACATTTTGTTTGTTTGAAAAGCATTGGAGCAATTGGAGAAGCATTAGTTTAAACTCCAAGTAGCCTGATGAAAACAGATTATTGTGATCGTGATGCTTAACATGTACAAATGATAGAAAAGAAACTTAATTCTCGCTTCAACAAAACTTTCATCAAAAAGGAGATATTAAAAGGAGATACTAGCAAATGCTTCAAGATTAGCTTTGGTGGTACCTGAACATCTTTTAACAATGATCATGGCATTTTGAAGAGGACTTGAGATGCAGTATACTGTATTTGAGTATTCATTTTAACCTGTGTTCAAAAATTCCTATGTACAATAGCATTTGAAACTATTGGTAATTTCAGAACTTCACGGTCTGTCTAGCAGAGGTTCTTCAGATAAATCAGGTCTTCTGTGCAGGGTGAGAAAAACATCTTCTGCTTTACTTTTAAATATTCTTTGAACTCCAGAATCTTACCTTTAAGCATATGTCCCCATGAGCATATTCAGTAGTAGAAATAAAGCAGTCTATAAAAGAATTTTAGGATGCTTCACTCAGTTTTAATCAAGAACATTTCTTAGATCATGGTGAATAAACTTGAGAAATTATGAGCTGCTCTTTAAAAGCATCTGGCATGCTGAATTTGGTCTGGAATACAAAGTGCAGTTTAAAAGCACAAAGTACCTATCTAAAAATGCCATTCTTGGTTTTCGGATTTGATACTTATGCCAGTGTAATGTCTCACTGAACTTCCAGCCCTGCAGACCTCCCTTGGTTTAGAATTTCCTTTTGGTTAGTTGGATTTTTTTGCATGTTCTTGAAAGTTATAAAGAATCTACAAATCAAAATAATTCCAGTGAAATTCATTTTTCCTTAGCCTTCATACAGGTGTGGATGCCTGTCAGTATTCTGTTGCAGGTTTACAAGGGGAAATAGGATCTGGATTGTGGCTCTGTCTAACAAGTAAGAATAAAACAAAGAGGGATTTTAGTCAGAGGCTCATCCTATTTGGTATTTTCAACAAAATATACTATGAAAATTTCTAGAATTTTTATTAATTTTTGAGAATAGAACTTTTGTAAGTAAGTGCAAAATAGGAAGTCAGGAATGAGTTGAGGGGCCCTAGTTTAGCGCACAATCAGTGGATCAAGGCTATGAGCAGCTGTGTTGCTCTTTCTTCAGTGCACGGGAGTGTCCTGGCAGCGCTTTACATGTCAGGAAGCTTCACGTAGATTTGGGGAAGCAAAATGCAACGCTTGAGGAAATGCTCTGAATTGCAAACACTAAGAGGCAACTTGCTTTCCACCAGTGAGTGTTACCGCCGTGTCGAGCTGCTGCGCAACCGCCAGGACCTGATGAAGGAGAAACTTAAAGAAGCCATGAGATTAACAGCGACACAAGAGAAAGAGGATGAAAGTCTGGGTAGTGAAGATGAAGAAGAGCTGCAGGACTTGCTTTCCCAAGACTGGCGGGTGAAAGGAGCTTTGTTGTAGCATTTCTGCAATGTGGTTGATACCCTCTTTACCTGTGATGTGACTTCCGTTATCAGAAGTGAGATGCTTTTGTTAAAATATTTATTTAAAGAGGAGCATGAGATGGTAAAGAGACAACCATATAAGGAAAAAAGAAAACCTTTGTAGAGCTACCAATTGGTGTATTTCATGCTGTAAAAACTGTATATTGCAAATGTTTTACAAGGTTGAATGTAACTTTCCAATTTAAAATACTGATTTCCTACGAGAGATATTTTAATGGGATTTAAAGAAATTTTATAATCTGTAACCTTTTGGGAACATGAGATATGTACAGTAAGTTAGAGGCAGTGGCATTGTGTATGGATTTAAATTGCTAGCAAATGTTGATAGTGTTTTCCCCACGAGGGGATGGAATAAAGGAAACTCTTATGCATTTATGTTACTTTCAAAGCTTCAAAACTCTCTTCCCTCCCCCATCTCCTCCCCAGTAAGCTCTGTAAGTCTGTTACAGATTCTGTGGTGTGCGTGTGCCAAGCTCAGCCACACTGTGCGGCAGCTTCTCGACAGTGATCTGCTCAAGGACAGAGGCAGCGCTGCAGATTTCCCTTCCTTTGTGGCATTTGTCACGTTGCTTAATGGAGGCAGAGTGGCGCGGACCTCACCCTGGGTGAGCTGCAGCTAGGGAACAGAGCAGCTACATCCTTGCATGCTGCAGGGCCAGTGTAATAAGTGTCAGAGTAAGGCAGGGCGCTGGAAACTCTGACCAGGTAAAGACATTTATTGATCTGTAACTGCTGGAGCCTTTCTAACATGAAGAAGTGCATCTAAAATGGATTTATGTTCTGTCAAACAGAAAAGTAAAATTAAGGATGAAACCAGGATCCAGAATGCAGAAAACTCTTAACTTTTAGTAATTTTGTTGCTGCTCTTGTTGTTGACCTTTGCAAATCTTAAAACATTACAAAGTTACTGAGGACTTTTGAAAAACAGGAGATGTCATTTAATTTTTATCTCACAATGAAGTTGGGAAAGAATAGCTTAAAGGCAAAAAAAAAAAAAAAAGTATTAACTTTCTGAAGTTAATCAGGTTCTAAGAGATGAGAGCAAGCTCTGCTCTTAAGAGATCTTCGTGTACTTCCCTCAGTGCTCTTAATTAATTAATTAATTAAGGGGAAAAGAGTGCTGCATACTAAAGCTAGATGTTAGATTTGCCTCCTTTTGAAGAACCACTGGTTATGCCGAGAGCCCTTTCCTTACTGTGAGATGCTGTTTTACCACTCTGCTTTCCATGTTTCTTTGATGCAGCTCTGTTTATAGATGTTTGAAAGTATCCTTATGAAGCTGTTAAAAGTAAAATTCAAGCAAAGTCCTTTAACAAACTGGTGCATCCATTATTCCTGTGCATATATGCTGGTTACAGCCTTGGTTGCTTGGCTATTTACATTTATGGCTATTAAACTAGGCGCTACTAAAAATGCTTAACTCTGTGGTCTTGTGTGAATTACTCCTGAGGTTAAGATATCAACTTTTGTGATTTAATAAAGAAGTATTGAAACAAACTAGGGACTGGCAAGTTAGAGGGAAAATTAGTTGGGCCAAAATGGAAATTAGAAAGGAAATTCCCGCTTTAGCTTGATGTGTGAGTTTGAACGTCAGTTTTCAAGGTGCCTTTTGCGTGGTGAAAGGTCTCAAGGCGATCTGCACAAGGAGGAGATTGCTGAGGCATTGAAGAATATCTGAAGATCCTTCTCTGAGGAGGTGCTACAGTGTTCACAGAGGGACAGCTCTGTTCAAACCCCCAGGGCCAGTTTCCATTCTTGGAAGAACTAAGCAAAACTACTCATCGTTCTGCTGATCTTTGGATCACTGAATTTTAGAAGTATGATTCTTAGTATCAGAGAAACTGCTATGTGCAGGTTGTGTCGAGCATCATGGGCATATGCTATGTTTTTACAATATAAATATGTTAATCTCTGTTTTTAGCAAACCTTTTTCATATACATATAGATTGCACTTTCAGGTGCAGGTAAACAGCAAGGGAACTGAGCACCAGAGAGCAGAGCTGTTGCAGTTCGGTTGCCTTCTGCGCAGGAGGCCAGGGCAGGCGTCAGGCTGCAGGATGGGCTGTGCAGGGGGGAGGCATCTTCGGGGCTGCCCCTTGGCTCTGCCAGCAGAGGAGCAACCCTGTACGTTGGAGCTCCAAGCTGCAAGGGGCATCCACTGCTTCAGTCAATATTGGGAAGAGCTGGCAGGAATAAACGTGGAGCCGTTCCCCCCAGTCGCTCTATGCTTTCACCCTCACATAATTTCTATGAAATAGTCCGGACAAGGAGCCAGGTGGTGGCAGGACACGTGTTGCTGATGAAGTTACTGGCACCATTGGTTCCTCTCGGTTGGTGCTTGCTTAGGAGTCCGTGCCTCTTTCCTTAGGAGAAATCTTGCAGATCCATAAATAAAGCCGTACGTCAGTTCTCACGGAAGGAGTGACAGTAGTGAGGCAGTAACTACCTCTCTTCATCGATTGAAACACAAGTTTCCAGAGAGCTTTGCCAAGGAGATAGTGACTGCTAGCTGCATCCCTCAAGACCATTGGTATTTATGTGCTGTTGTGCCAAGACAGCAAGGAATCAACCTGCTTTTCAGCAAAGTAGCATGCCAGGAAGAGAGAAGGGCATTATCCCAACTTCAGTGACTACACAGGGTAGTATATCATCATGGTAAGTGACCTCCTGTGACTTAGAAAACTTAAGCACAATTAATTTGTGTCTTCTATTGGTCCTCAGTTTTAGAAAATAGTTTTATGATTAATTTCTGATGAGCTGTTCTGCTAGGTGATTAATCAGAGCAAATAATCTTTTTGTAAAAGAAATGTCATTTTCTTACAGCTTGTGTTTTCTTCTATTTGTTAGCTGTTGAGATGAAAGTCATCCTAATATTCAGCCTTGTCCATAGCGAGAGTCCAAAATGAAGATGCTGCTCTGGCATGAGGAAATTTGAGGAATATTTTAAATCTCTGATTTCTAGGAGTTTAGGAAAGTGAAGAATCTGAATTAAGAGGGAAAGCTTAACATTTGTAATTCTCATTTATTAATTTGCCTGTGAGGAGTCCGAAAGTCACTTGGGGGCAGAATGGAAGAAGAGAGAGGAAGGAAAACTAAAGAATGGTCCTTCATTAAAGCACATCACTGTAAAATTGGCTTCAGAAAGAGAATCACTGGTTAAAAAGGAGCATTAGCTTCAGCGCTGGTAAACCCATTTTGCTTATTCCATGCCACTGTAATAAAATGGCCTCCATTTGATCATTTCAGAAACACTGAGCTGGGAGGAGCTTTAATGAAAAAAGTCAAATATTTTAGCATTTACAAATATTTTACAATTTATTTTTCATAAGAAATCATGCTTTTTTTCCCCATTTTGGCTACATTTTGAGATGTTTGCCTGTTTCTAGATGTGAGTGAGAGGTCACACGCAGTGATGCAGAAACTTGGCAACTCCATTAACATCCCAGGGTCCTCCCTGCTGGAGTCAGTGGCAAGAAAAGCCGCATACGCTGCTGGCCTCCGAGGTGTCTTCAGGCCAACGGTGTGAAATGTGTCGTGAAGCACTTTCCCAGTTCACTTAATGTCCATCACCTCACTGAACTCTCGTGGCTTGTTAGCTGCGGGAGGAGCATCACTCTCATGTAGGCACCTAACCCAGGCCTTGCCTCATAAAAGGTGTCCCAGGTGCCTTTGGTGAGCGGTGGCTGCAGCCCTTGCAGGAGCTGTGGGAGCTGGCGCTGCCGTCCTGGCTGCGCGCACCAAGCCGAGCTCCGGCCTCAGCCCCGAGCAGCCGCTCCGGGTGCAGCTACGGCCAGGGACCTGAGCCAGGGACCCGGGCGACCTTCCTGCCTGGCACCTGCGTCACTCACCTGGGAAGGGGAGGATCCTGCGCCATGCGTGTACCTAGTGCCGAAACACGTTCAGCTGAGATGGAGGCTCGGAGGAAAACGCGCTCCTGGAAAGCATTTTTATTGTCACGCTGCTGGGTATTTAACATGAAAGACCAGGAGAGTATCTCTTTCTGGCCAGTTGAGGTGGGGGAGGTTCAGTGCATGCTTGAAGACTGTCTTAACGTGCTGAGACCTCACAGCAACATCCAGCCCTTGCAGCCCAGTGAGGCCTGGGCATTTGCCAGGCACCTACACGCTTGGCACAGGGAGGCCGAGGCTTCCTATGGGGCTCAGGGCCTGCAGGTGCGTCTGAGAACACCAAGCACGTTAGCAGTGGGCTACGTAATGTGGCTAGGCACACTAGGGTTGTGTTGGCTTGTTTCGTCTTGGCGGACTTTCTTCCTCTTCTCTTCTCTTCTCTTCTCTTCTCTTCTCTTCTCTTCTCTTCTCATCTATTTTTTTGTTTTCTTGACCATTAGAAACTCATCCAGGTTTTTTTTTTATACTTCTTCTCTTCTCTTCTCTTCTCTTCTCTTCTCTTCTCTTCTCTTCTCTTCTCTTCTCTTCTCTTCTCTTCTCTTCTCTTCTCTTCTCTTCTCTTCTCTTCTCTTCTCCTTTTCGCTCTTCTCTCCTCTTTCTATTGAACTGCTTCTTTAAGGTGTTTGCCAGAACTCAGATACTGATTTGCTGATGTGGAAGCTGTAGAGCTTGTGGTGTCTTTCATTGGAGATACACAACCTTTTCATATACATATTGACTTTGAGCATGAGATGTTCTAGTTTTCAAACTTGGAAAACTTTCATAGATTTTTCCCCCCCCCCTGTTAGATGTACCCTCTTGGGTTTTGCTTGCCTATTTTGTGTATTAAATTTACCCAGTAATTTTCCTGCTATTCATGAACTCTCTCCAACTAAAATCATTATGTTAAAATGAAATTTCCAGCAAAGATCCTGTCAAAAGACATCTCCTCCCCTGCCCTCTTGTGTTCAGGGCATGTTCATCTCACCCCTCCTCATCCCTCATGCAAACATATCCCTTAGCTAGTTGGTTTAAATCTCAGCCTGCTCTAGCCAATTCCAGAAGGTGCCTGGGAATTATTTATGTGCAAGAAGGTGTCTGTGACAGACCTGTTGCTGCTGCCCATTGCCTTATGGCCAGGGCGGTCCTGCCTCTCTGTGCTGACGGCAGTGACGTGCGCTCGTCAT